TTATAAGTTTTTATAATTAAAATTAGTAAAGTTATGAATTTTTAAAAATATTATAAATTAGGTAGTTAGGTTAAAAAGCAGGTGGCCGGTTTCTAGGGGTAGCCGGTTTCCCCGTATCCAACGTTATATCAAAAAACCTCGGTAGCCGTGCACGACTGATGAGAGGTCGCTTGCAAGTACGGAGTAGCCCAGTGATGAATAGGTCACTGATGATATAAAAAGGTCGATAATAAAATTAAACACCCCTAATCGTAGAGTGGTGGTTTAAGTAACGAGCCGTGTCGATGCAATATTTAATACTATGTACGAGTAGCTGTCAGACGCGCAGGCGCGTACAGTGCATATCAAGTTAGGCCATGCGTTTTGATACAGGGGCAATTGACGCGAATCCCACAGGAAGTCTCATCAACTTCCCCGTGTAGACCGTCTCCCGCTAGAATTCAACGCGCTTGACCGGGGAGCTTCGCATCAAGTGGGGCGCGGGATGCAAGGCGTGCCCGCGACGACTGTATCCCAGGCCTTGCGCCGCTGTGCTGGGAACAGATCCTCTCTTTGACAGGCCGTGGTGCTATGACGCTACGCCTGAATCGCGTTGGCTGAAGTCGAAGACAGTGCTGGGACGAAATGGCCAGGGCCTTCTCCGTAAAGCACACAGAAGTTAGAACGAGGCGGACATACATACATACATACATACATACATACATACATACAGGTCCCGAGGTAGGCCTAGTAGGAACTGTACATGTAGGGTCGACCGACCAGATGAAGCATAGGACCAGAGGCTGCTGATGAGTTTTTGGTGGTGATGGAGCTCCCTCAGCTTCCCCGCCTTCTCCCTCTTGGTCTGGATGATTTCATGATGTTGCGATCACGTTTCCAAGATCTGACTGTTTTTGGCTGCTTGGCCGATGCGCGGCGGCTGAGAATTGGCCTTCCCATCTTTAGATTGGCTTGTTGCTGTGTCATCCTTGGTGGACAACGATAATGCGTGTCTCGTGCCTCGTTTTTCGTCCCTCACAGTATCCGTACCATATCATCGATTGCGATGCGCTCCTTGATTAGACAGTTCTGTCCCTGCTCCTATTGGCTTCCATTCTCCGGCCTTGCTCCCCTGCCTCCTGTATGTCTTTGACAAGCCCCCCGGTTCCCCTTATACCGTGGATAATGTGCTAGTGGGCCAGTGACCTTGTACAGCCATTCTTCGATTACGGAGCAAGTGGATAGCCGTTCCCTGTCGGTTCAGCAAGGTATCTCGACACCGACATTGACTCCGACTTTTGGTATCCGTCACCGACTCTATTACCGTCAAATATACGATATATCGTTCTTGACCGACGGTTCAGTAAACGGAATCGTGCCTCTGAATCTGCGTTAGGGCATGAGAGAGCAAAAATACTTCTCCGTTGTGGATGTCTCCATTAAACGTCCGCTATCGTTTCCATGTGGATGTGTCCACTCAGGCTGACATAATGAATCGTTGGCGAGAGGAGAGAAGGTTTGGCGAAGCCAAGGCTTGTACCTCTGCAGGAACCCAGGGAAAAGAGTGCACCAAGTGACGAGTTTATGCAAGTATATTTGCACGTCTGTCAAAGTTACAGTGTGCCTTGACGATCTCGTGCTCTCTCCTCTAAGTATTGAGGGGTCTACTCCGTCCTTGATTAGCTTTGATTGCTCCGTGCCGATTATCGTAACTTTGCGTGCTGGCCATGGTGTAAATAGTGCCTGGTCCAACAATCCAGTCTGGTCTGTCTCTCTGTATTATTGTCTGTGCTGCTTTTTAATTGACGGATGGCGTTGGCTGCTAGGTTCTCCTGACAGAATTTTCATTGTCGGTGCTCGCTCGCCTCGTCCAACCTGAGTTGCTTGCTTCTTGTTCATCCACAAGCGGCTTAGGGGCAAAACGAATGGCTGAACTGCCCCTCGTCTCCCCTCCACCGAATTGGGCCCCGCTATTGTATCAGTGGAGCTTGGTTCGGTAAGGTCAGGTTTGTGCTCACCTGGTCTTGGTCTCTGGTCATGCTCGGTACGAGGTGCTCAGAGGCGGATGCCTGAACTCACAGGGGTGTGATGGAAGCTAACGAGTCTAGCATTACTGGCCGAACGCTGGAAGCTGCTGCTGCATAGTGCTGTATTGGTTCCTTCAGTCGCTAAGAGCAAGGCAAGGTACCTGGGCAGTTAGCACGCCCACGCCCACGATTGCCCGCCAAGGAAGGTCGACAAGACACTCCATGCACCTCTCTCTGTGCGCTGTACTGTCGGCCTTAGTCTGTCCATGCTTTTGTGCTGTGCTGTGCTAGGTATGCTGTGCTGTGCTTCGCTGGCACGAGTGCTCAATTTAGAGCCCAGTCACTCTCATCACTCACTCGCTCAACTAGCCCAGTCCAGCCTCAGCCAGTAACTTCTCAGCCACCACTCTCCCTCGCTCGCTCCTACCATCTCTCCCTCCTGTCGTCTCTTCTGTTCTCATTCCCTCTTCTTGGTTTTCCATGGATCTTCCCCTCCTTCCCTCCCCACCCAGAAAATAAGTGCCCCCCCAACTCCCGGGTCACTCTCCCCTCCGGATTTCTCCCCCCCTCCCTCCCGTCCGCCCCTCTAAGTCTTCTACGTCTGCTCCCCTCGCTTTTATTCCCTTCTTCTTCCAATTCCCCTCCATCACCAGCTCGACTCATCAGCAACCAACTCGCAACACTTCGCCCGTCTCATCACGACCGGTTCATATTTTTCAAGAGGCCATCCAGAGCCTTCATTCCTCAACCAATACCAATAAACTCAGCTTTTCCATGACCATCGATCAATCATATCCAATGACCATCATTACGTTCAAGATCACCGCTTTCACCCTTTAAACCCCACGGGAGCGCGCGCGCAAGCGAAGAGCTAGCAGTCGAGAGCGAGAGCGAGAGTCACAATATCCTACGAATCAGACGATATTCAACCATCGTGCTGTCGGGCCCAGCCTAATTGTCCGATTTCCGATCGCAAACTTGCCGTCGTCCTTGGTCGCCTCCCGAATTTAGGAATCGCGACTTGACCACGTCAACATGCCCGGTGCAAACGTAGCAGTCCTCCCGCCCCCTGCGGCCTCGACAGCGTCTTCGCGAAAGGCCTCGCTGGCACCCGAACGTAAATACAAGTGCCAGTTCTGCAACAGGGCTTTTAGCAGGAGCGAACACCGAAGTCGCCATGAACGATCACGTACGTGCACCACCAGTCAGCCCTCATGCCAAACCTTTCACATCGCGACCCCTCTTCTCCTGGCCATAGGCTAACTCATTCGCAGATACCAAAGAGCGTCCTTTCAAGTGCATGAAGTGTAGGAGTACTTTTGTCCGCCGTGACCTTCTTCTTAGACATGACCGTACCGTCCACGCCAAGGATGGCGGCGTGCCCCTTCACAGCGATGGCAAGCGCCGGGCCGGTCCCAAGACTCGCGCTGTCGGTGCCCCTTCAAAATCTTCTATCGCTATTGATACTTCGACCCTGGAACAAATGGAATCTGGTGCTGATGGCATCTTTGACGTTGAGACGGCTGCCATGCTTGTAGCCGATCTGCATCACAAGGCCACCGCCGCTATGCGCGAAGACCACTCATACGAGGACAGTCCATCGATGGCTTATTCACCCCACAATGCTTCTGCTATGGAGTCTACTGTGACCTACCCTTCAGGCGCCATCGCACTACCTCAGGTTCAGTGGGATGGTTTTATGTCTCAATCAGTCGCCGAGCCCAAAGCCCATTCGATAACGTCCAGTGCATCCGGGTCATTCGAGTCTCAACCTTCTTTCACCAGCGGCACTACCCTGCAAGCTAATTCGAATAAACTCCCCCCTATCAGTGGACAGAACTGCAACGGCCTGGTACCGGCCCTACAGTCTATGATCAACTCGTTGCCCAACTCTGCAGCTGTGCCGCCCTCTCCATGGTCGTCAGATTCATCCAAGCCTGGATACAAGGCCCCTGAAGTGATGGGGGATGATGAGCGCAACGCTATCCTTGACAACATTCGCAGTGCCGACAGCGAGCACGCCATCCCTGAGGGTTTCCGCCTGCCAGGCCTAGGTTCATTGAATCGGTACCTTTCAACATACTTCGGTCTATTCCATCACCATTTGCCTTTCTTGCATCCTGCCTCATTCCATCCCACCAAGGTCTCACCCCAGCTTTTGTTGGCAGTTCTCAGCATTGGCGCTCTCTATGCTTTCGACCAAGAACAGGCATACATGCTCCACATTGGCTCCAAGGTTCTGGTTAACCAGTTCCTACAGAGTAAGGAGAATTTTAGCTCCCGAAAGTGTCCCCTGTGGACCATGCAGAGCAACCTCCTTAACATGATCTTTGCTAGCTGGAGTGGTGACCCCAAGGGCCTGGAGTGGACCTGCTCAATCAAGAGTCTGCTCGCCAACATGGTCGCGGGTAACAGATACGAGCTGAAGCTTCGCCAAGAAGCTCGGTCAGGTGCAAAGCCCACTCGTGCCGACTGGGTAGAAGATGAGGGCTGCCGCCGTACATATTACGCTGTCTACATCTTCTTTGGTCTTTTGACACTTACCTACAACCACACGCCGGCCATCAGTTTCAGCGAGTTTGAAGATTTACAGCTCCCTTCCACCGAAACGCTATGGAACTTGCAGGCACCAGACGAGACGGCATGGCAAGAGCATCTGGCAGCTTCCACTACCGTGACCTTTATGGAGGCTCACGACAACCTTTTCCAGGGTGAGACGCTTCGATACAGCACATTCGGCACCCGCGTCATGATCAACGCTTTGTTTCTTGAGGTCTGGTATCACAAGCGCAGTCCTGAAGCACTGCAAGACGTGGTAACAGAGTACAAGTTGCGGCTGGCGCTAGAAACATGGGAGAAGTCCGTCGATATGTGTGAGGCCGAGGCCTTTCCTGTGCCGATCAGTGCTCCCCACAAAGGCCATCCTTTAATTTTCAACGCGAAAGCCATGTACCGTAATGCTCGTGCCCGTCTGGAAGTTGACCTCAAGGCGGTCCAGGAAGCGCTTCGCTACCATGAGTCCTATGAGGTTGCTGCTGCGATGACGCATGCCAGGGATCGCGTGAAGCGCTCGAGTGAGATGATCAAGGTTATTGAGGAATGCTATAACTGCCTGGAAACTGTTGTTTCTCAAGGAGTTAGATGGATTGCCCGTGTATCGCCTACCAATTGGAGCGTAGAGCATGCGCTCTGCGGAATGGATCTCATGATCATTCTATCGCTGTGGTTGTATCGCCTGGAACATGACGAGGAGCCTGCGACTCAGGAAGAGATGGCCATGTACAACAAGGTCCGACAGCTTCTTGTGAAAGAAATTGATGAGAACTACATGTCTCAGCTGAGCGCTGTTGTCGCACGACTCTGGGGCTCGATACTCGATGAAGTCGTTGTTTGGGGGTATGTGTCAACGGTGCAAACCATCTCTCAGAATTACATTGCTAACACAGCACACAGCATGACACGACTTATGGGCGACGCCTTCAAATTGCATTCTCAGGCCCTTGTCGGCTATGTCGATGATCCTGAAGCATCCTCAAATGTCTCGACTCCCTCGATGATCTCGCAGGGGGCAGACGAGGATAGCGTGTACTAAAACTAATTGGCCATGACTGAAATGACTTTTTCCTATGTTCGCCCTCGGGCCGGTTCGGGCTTTCCTTTTCTCCTAGGCATATACCTCTCTGCTTGATTATGTTTGGTTTTTGGTTGTGGGTTAATTCGATCCTCTCTGACTTGATCGGCTCCGGCGCGCAGGGCTCGGGAGGGAGTTGGACTCGTCCCGTCTCCTATGAATTTGTTTTTTGCAGTCTCCTTATGGTTTTCATTTCACTATCTCCTTGGCGATACCCGAGACAGGGCGGGTAATCGCAATGTCCAGTCTACTGCAGTTTTATCATTGCAAGTCTGTTGTTGTTATTGTTGGACACGTCGTGCTTTGTCGTTTTTGTTTACGTTTGTCTCTTTCCTTGTTGCATGGTTACAAAGGGTCAAACGGCATTAATTGGGGTCAAGGAAGGGGATCGGGAAACGGTTTTCGCATTGGGCTTGTGCCCCGGACAGAGGGAACTGGATCATTTGCGTAGTGACAGCGCAGGCTAATGACTGCGATGGCAGGACAGTTGGCAGGTCCAAGATGGCTGGTGTCGCCTTCTACTTCCCCTGTTCCATATGCTATGGCACCTTTATTGTTTTCATCTTATAATATTTGTGCGTGTTTCTTTCTGCCGTTTTACAGGCAGTTTTCGACGTTCGGTTCCGTCTTGGTCTACTTCTTCTCATGGTATGGCATTGCTCTGCTTCGCCTCTTGTTCGATTCTTCTCCTATTTATTCTTCACTTATTTTTTGTCGAATTGTTCAGTTTGGTTTTCAGATACCTTGTTCGATATACAGATTGTTTCTTTTGCGGCCACATGACGGCAATAGCATGATCTGGCATGTCCTGAGAACCCCTTTTTGGGCTCACGACGCAGCGTCGCATACCGTCAAGAGGAGGCTGGCCCATACTCGTGTATAGATGAATAGTGTTTGCTTTGGATAATCAGCACCTGTCAAAACATCATTTCTTGTCCTTTACTAAGCTCGTGACATGTTGAAAGTAATCAGCTCTCGATACCAAAAGGAATTGTACAGGGAGTCGTTGGTGGACCAAAGGCGGCATCATCACCAACAACAAAAAAATGGCCTCTCGAAAGGTTAGTACCTTAGTACTTAGTGTAAGTCATTAGGTCAGTACTTACAACAACAAAACACCATATTTACGACGAGGTGCTCTTTCTCCCACACATGCATGAATGCATACCTACCTTAGGTACCTACCCTACCATGCCCGTCAATGGAAGTTTCGCTCGGGCCTTTGGAGAACGTCCTTCCATGAACCATCTAAGCTCTACCCAAAGCAGGCACCTTCGATGAATTGTTTGAGGTTATTCGGCCAAGTTACTACCCTTATGTGAACCTTGACCTGCGATCTCAACTTGTGACTTACAACTTACATGGTGTCAATGTTGAAATACGCTCGTCACCGCCGAGAGAGTCAATTCTGTTAAGAAGGCCCAGTCACTTATATTTCCATCATGATCCCCCCTCTTACACATCTTCTGGCGACTGCTCGTCTGCTTTCTGGAGCGTGCGAATGCGGCTACTCGATCACAAACCCTCAAGGCGATAGCGATAGCCCAATGGTGTTTTCTGATCGGCTGGAGACCAAGTTCAGCCAGCTGCACAACATATCTGAAGGGCACGACTGGGTAGCTCAAAATTTTACAGTATCGGCAGCAGACGGTAGGGGTAACTTCGGCAAAGCATTCCTGCCCAACAATGTCAACCCTCATGAAACAAAGTCTGTGGATGATTCTGGGCTTGAGCTACGTGTAAGAAGTGCAGTCAACAAAGACGATGCCATCCCGTCGAGCGAAGTCGATACAGCGAGACTTGACCTTCACTGGGGATCATTCCGAGCAGGAATGAAACTGACGGACGTCAAGGGTACCTGTGCCGCTTTCTTCTGGGCAAGTAATCAGATGTCAAGAGCGATGAGTGAAACTGACCAATGAACAGTATTTTAACGATACTCAGGAGATCGATATCGAGTTCCTTTCTCAAGAGTTTGATCACGATAATGGTATATACCCTATCAATCTGGTTGTTCAGTCCAAGAAATCCTTGGAGGCTGGCTATGATGCCAGCAAAACTGGCAGTTTCAAGCGAGTCAAGCTAGATTTCGACCCGACAGACGCCTTTCACGAGTACCGCTTTGACTACCTTCCAGGACAGGTCCTATTCTACGCTGACGGCAAACTGCTCGCCCACATGAAAGGAGCCGACATGCCTTCTTCTGGGGGCCATTTGATTCTTCAGCATTGGAGTAACGGCAATCCGTTATGGTCAGGCGGGCCTCCAAAAGAGGATGCCACAGTCACAGTCAGTTATGTCAAAGCTTACTTCAACTCATCAAACAGTGAGCGCCAGTCGCAACTGGCGAGACGGTGTCACGAATCGTCAGAGGAAACTTCGGTGTGTGTGATAAATGATTCGGATAATGATGCAATCGATAGTGCAGGTGCTAGCACAACGAGAGTCGCGCCAGGAACCTCTGTCTGTGTCTTGATTGTTGGCCTAGTAATGCCCTTTTTGCAGTTAGTGGGATGAATGTGTACTTGATTATCTGCTACGAGTTTGAGGGCTTCCATGGAGCCGTGGTTGGAATCGATGTTTAGTTATGGTTTATGGCGCAAACAAGAGAATTTGAAGTATTCGAACAAGAAGAAGAAGAAGAACACGAAGAAAACGTACAATTATATTCGATAAAGGGAAAATTCCTTCTATGTGCACTATCGAGATGTTGGTTGTTCAGAAACCTGGAATCAAGGAGTACTGACGTAGTCAAATCAGAGCTGCTTCAAATCTCTTCTCCCTTGGTTACCATGAGGTAAGTACTAGAGCATCCAATTCCATTGCCTCTACTTTACCTTGGCCAAGGAACCAACAAAACTGGGCCTAAATCAAGGCAGAGGCCGCCTTGTGAGGTGAGGGGTTATAGATGCATTTTATAAGTAATAGATCTTTCCTTCAACAAAATTGACCGGCCTGTTATCACATCCACGATATCCTTCACTACTGTATCTCACCTCATCCATCATATTATCTATCCTAGTAGTGACCAAAACTTTGCAAATATGCCTACAGAACCTTTCCTAGATATTATCCTCACCAATCATACAGACTCCAAGTCGCTCTTTGCACACGTCACAGGTCGAGATGAACAGGGCGTTTTGATTCTTCTCGCTGATGGTGAGACGGTTCATCGGCCAAAGTCGCCGTCTGAGATATTACAGCCTGTCGGTGCAGACATCGCCATTCCCGTTGGAGGACCAGGAGCTCAAAAGAAAGTGCGGATACCGCATATCTTTGGAGGACGAATCTGGTTCTGCAAAGGCAAGCCAATCACATTTCTTATCAACCCAGGGCCAGCTGTGGTTGAACCGTCTGTAACGAATCCAACTGATGCCAACTTTGACGCTGATTGGGGATTCTGCGAGTTCACCTACAACAACGATCAGCTGTACGTTAACGTGTCATATGTTGACTTCGTAAGCATTCCGATCGGTCTGGAGCTTGAGAACGAGGCAGGCCAAGTCACGCGTGTTCCGGGCATGCCCAAGGATGGGCTTGATCAGGTCTCGGAGGCTTTGAAGCGTCAGGGCGAGAAGGACGGCGCGGGCTGGGAGAAGCTTGTGGTCAAGTCCAAGTCTGGCTCCAACCTCCGAGTATTAAGCCCAAACGCTGGTGCAGAGTTACATCCAGGCTTGCTGGAGAATTACTTTGTGCCAGAGATTGACGCGGCGTGGAAGCGCTACGAGAAGGAGGACATCGAAATCAACACTCAGGCAGAATGGGGCGATGTTAGGGGCCGCGTCCACGATGGCAAACTAGTGTTCAAAGATGTTGGAAAGGACAAAATTAGCTTCCACTTTGAGAAGCCAGCTACGCGAGACATTGTGTCTTGCAGCACGGGACCGTTTGCAGGAGGCCCGGACGTGACGGCGGCGCAGCTCAACGTCGGAGCACGGCTTGTGGCGGCGCTGAACCGGACGACGTTATCGGGCAACTCCCGACAGCCGGAGGGGGAGAGGGTTGAAGAATATTACTGCAAAGGAAAGGGAACGACAAATCACTACTCTAGAATCTGTCATGAGGTCACGCGAGAGGGGAAGGGGTATGCGTTCCCGTACGATGATGTTGGTGCATCAGGGGGAGTTGATCAGAGCGGATTCTTGAATGATGGGAGACCAAAGGTCTTGACTGTTCATGTTGGGGGACAGTAAAAAAAAAAGGCAGACTGTGAAAATGGAATTGATGATGAACAGCTGTCAGGTCTCGCCAAGTTTGTTCTGTCTAGAAAATGAACGGGCTCAGTCGAACGAACCTCTAAATTAACGTGGCACCCTCAGCAGGCTTTATCATGTATGTAAGACATGCGGTTGTGGCTGTTAATAGCATCTGCCACAGCCGCAATCAAGGAATGAAAGGGTTGCCTTAGTACTTAGTACTAATGATCTTAAATTGTGACGTTGAGGCCCTCAAGTTTTATTTCAAGGTACAGGGTGATCATTGAGTCGTGCTCCTAGTATTGCTCTGTCTAGGAGAGTATGCGAGCCGGGTCATGGGCTTATTGCCGATTACCAGAAATGAATCATCCATAGCATTTTCCTCTTATGCAGATATGCCAGTAATGAATCTCAAACTAGGGGGCAAGACATCCATTACCTATTAGTGATATGTCGAGACTGAACTGCACACCGAGACAACCTAGAAGAGGAGGAGCACAGCCAGGCCCGCGCCAGCCCGCCCAATCTGCAGCTAACAAGTTGCATCACGTCCGATCCAATCCAATCCAAAGGAAGGAAGGAAGAGATCCAATCATTCCGCATACAACCCTTATTCCTCTTTCCGTGGTTGCATAAGGTATGCGCATGGATCCCTACCTACCTTACTTTATGGCTCGACCTACCTTCCGTACCAAAGATACTTTTCCCTCTCACAACTACCTAAATTAATCTTTGGCCATAGATCCTTGTTTTTTTCAATTACGTTCCTTTGGTCCCGCCTCAAGATAATCATTCTGCTCTTCTCTCGTTTCTGATATCGACTCCAACTTTAATGACTTACGATTCACGATTTACGATACCTCAGACCAGGCCATATCGCTGATACCTACGTACTTCGGGGACAATCCATCATATCACACAAACACACACTCCGCACTTCCCGGGTTCCTAGCCGCCTCTGTCGATCCCCGCCAACAGTTACCGTCGCCCCTTGGAACCTATCTTAAGCCAAGAGCTTCTTAGACGACCTACACACGGTCTTTTTGACCTTGCTGTCATAGCTTTCTCACTAATAGGAGCCCATCATGTCATGACTGCCAAAACGCCATCCTTCTTAACTTCACAATCTCTTATCTTGACTTGACAAGTCTGAGATTCTAATCACGACGCCGTGCGTCTTGCTTCTTTTATACAAGCCATCATGGTATATTGCGGGAAGCCCTCTGGTGGCTGCTCCACCTGCCGCCGTCGCAAGATTCGTGTGAGTTGGCCCATCACCACAATCCATATGAGTTCCGTCAAATACCTATGGCCTTCTGGCTGTTGTTATTTCAGCTTATTTCTTAGTGCTCTTACTGACACATGAGTATTTGAATCAAGTGTGACCAAAAGGAGCCGGCATGCACGCAATGCGAGAAGAAGAATCAACCATGCCCTGGCTATCGCAATCTCGTCGATCTGATGTTTCGAGATGAAAGCTCCCATGTTATCAAGAAAGCGGTCAAGACACGGGCTCGATCTAATCAATCACAAAAGAGCCCTGTTAGCCAGGAGCTCGCCTCGGCGTCAATATCTCCCCCAGCATCCGTTGTGACTATCAAGTCACCACCGACGTTCGCTATTGACCCTCGGTCCAGTGCAGCCCCTGCCCCTGCCACCAAGACAGAGAAATCGAACAAGGTCAAGGCTAGGCGTGCTCGGAAATCTAGCACTCGCTGCCGCGCGCCTGTCCTCTCCGCTTTGATCAACGACTGGAGCCGGTCTCCATCGGAAACCTCTCATGAAAGCCCGAGTGATGCCAGCGATGTCACTGGTCTAAGGGGACCAACTGAAGGCCGCGATCACTTGGATGACGCTCTTTCACCCGAACTACAAGACAAGGGCACTGCTTTTTTCTTCTCTCGCTACGTTGCAGCCGACAGAGGCTCTTATCAAAACTATGCTTTCATTTACGATGTATGGAAACCTCCGGACTCGGCACAGGCTCAAGTTGATCCAGTCACTGTCAGTATGACAGCTGTCGGACTTGCAGGATGCTCACAGGTTTTCCGATCCCCAGATCTTATGACACGGGCACAAGAGAGCTATGCTATCGCCCTCGGATTGACGCACCGTGCGCTTCGCGACCCAATCGAAGTTGTAAAAGACACAACCATGCTTGCCGTCTTGATACTCGGCACTTTCGAGTTTGTTTCGGGATACAGTTCCCATACGATGCGTGCCTGGCAAGACCACGTCAACGGAGCTGCTGCTCTGGCAAACATCAGAGGTGCTGCCCAGTTTCGAAGCAAAGCTGGTGCTCGCATGTTTCTCATGCTCTGCCATACAGTTCTTATAAGCTGCATACAGAGCGGCCTACCTATGCCACAAACACTAATAGACCTCCGACACGAGATTCCTCCCTCTGAAGAACTCGGAGGACCCGACTTTCATGTGGCATACCCCATATACAAAGCACTGCAGGTGCGCTACGATATCAACACTAGAAAACTAGCCGATCTTGATGATGTTGTCGCCGCCATATCAAATGTTGAGGAGGAATTCTCATCGATACTGTCCGGACTGCCAGAATCTTGGAAGTACCATCGCGTACAGCTGACGCAACCGGACCCTCGAGTATCAGGACAAATATGCCACGTTTATGCTGGGCTCCTTCAATCCACCACTTGGAATATGGTGCGCGGAATAAGGATGATGCTGCTGGAAACGCTCGTCGAGCAGCTTTGCGCTGCTGCGGGATCAGCTGACCGCATTGTACTATCAGACAATCATTTCCAGTTACTTGCCAAATCCCTCAAAGTCTTGGATATGCTAGGACAATCAATTGCAGCCAGCGTTCCCCAGCATCTCGGAGTTGTCAGTATCCGGGACATCAGCAACAATAAGGACCAAGGGCATACGGTTTCGATTGCAGCCAAGAAACAAGCATACCGTGTTATATCGTCGCCATTTGCGCAAGACTCACGTGTCAGCCCGACAGAGGATACATCCAGCAGCGGTGGTAGTCCGGTACTATTTGATCCAACGCAGTCGACGCCTCATACGGACGATGCCACTCGTTTCATGAGCCTTGCGTCGGCAAATAATACCATCATCTGGCCGTTGTACATGCTCGGTATGTCATCGGCATGTTCCCCAGAAACAAAACAATATGCCATCGAGGGCCTGCAAGCTATCCACAGAGAAGCTGGTCTGGAGCAAGCGCGCGTGGTTGCGGGACTATTGCAGGAGAAGGATAACCCCCTAACTCTCAGCCCATCACTTCTCAGCAAGCTTCCCA